TCTCTCTTTTAGATACGCGAAGATAAGAACATGGGTTATTTTAGACAGATCTATGTTAATTTATGATTATTAATGCCCCAAAAGTAGGTGAATTAATTTGAAACCCTACATCGGGAGTGACGTGGTTGGGTGGGGGTGGGGTAGATAAATAGGTAGCCTAGTCTAAGCTGTTGTCAGAACGTCGGTCGAGGTTGAGCCAACCCCCGGTCGAAGTTGAGCACACCAGTAAAACACAGGGTGCCGAAGAAAAAACCCTGTCAGTCAGTAAATAATGCATATAATAAGTCAAATGGTGTTTAAAATTAATGTATAAACTCTTCAATAGTTCCTGTTTTGGTCATCTTGTGCTGTCAGCAAAGACGAAAACTGAAAGTTTTGAAGCAGGCAAAATGCGGCAAACTGTTGTTTCGAACAAAAAACGTTCGCGGTGGGAACGCTGCTGGTTGAGGAATCGCGGTTCTTGACAAGACAAAAGAGTCACTTCAGATGACAAATGCGGTTAAAAATATGCAGACGAATGATCGGTTAACAAAGAAGGCGAGTAGAGTGATCGGTCGAATTTGGCCCGAGGACGAAGTTGCCCCAACCCACCCCCAGTGAGCTGGCCTCCGGAAAGCGAGCGCAAGAGCGCCCCATCTTCGCTTCACAGATGTGTGCAAGCGAGATATAATGAAATCGCTGGATATTGACACTGGGCGGTGGGAGACACTGGCATGCGATCGCGACAAGTGGAGACAGGCGCTGCGAGCTGGTCTCATCAGAGGTGAAGCCCAACTGCGACAGGCGGCTGAGGACAAACGCCATAGCCTAAAAGAATAGCCAGAAGCTACCAACGCAGAAAGACACCACTCACAAGTGCAGCCACTGCAACAGGGACTGGCATTCCCGTGTGGGCCTGTTCAGCCACAGCAAACGTTGCTCTCGAACCTGAAATCTCCTGCGGCGCAGATGCATAGTCTCCCGAGACTGAAGGATGCCATTATAATGGTCTAATTTGCCATTTATTTTTTTTTAAAAAAAGGTGCTGAACGGGCCACGCCGAGAGTAGGCCTAGATCAACTACATGTAGTACATTTACTAGATCTAGCAAGCGGTCGGCCATCGTGACAAAGTAGGTTTTCGTGCGATTCAGGTGGCTTCAGGGCTATGCGACAAAAACCTAGATCGTCGGTGGTGGCAAACTGGAAAATAATAAAGGGGGGTATGGAATAAAGAG